CAATTTTGAACAATTTACTTAACAAGATGTCAGCCTTTAGAAGTGAGGGGAAAGACAGGAAAGGTGGACTCACAGACAGACGCCAGGCTGGGGTTCGAGACATCTTGCTCAGTCCTAGAAGCCACCACAGGTTTCCTGTATGATGTGGGATGAAATGGGGAGAGTAATCCTTCTTCCCCCTTCATGCTGTTTATTCAGATCATAACAGGGACCATCTCATTATACATGCCTAACACAATAGGATATTAGCTGGAGTCTTCCAGTTCTAAACTAACGTACTTCAGTAATAAATATAGAAAGCTGGGTTTTCTCTGGTTCCCTCCTGTGTGGCTTCTCTTGTAGCCACTTCTCTGGTTGAGTTCATACGATGGCTTTACCCTGAGTGCAGGAACAAACTCAGGTCTTGGCTTGGTTTTCTATTTTTACGGAGTTGAAGATCTCCCAGACTTTCACACTTTGATGGATTTGCTTCATGTTAGCTAATAGGTTTCAAGAGTTACTCGGCAAACTGAGAGAAGACCGGCTGGCACAGGCAGCAGCATCGTAGCAGCTTTGCGTTTTAGGCTAAAACAGAGAGACTCGCCTGGAGAGCAGCAGCATTTGAGAGCACAGCCCATAATTCTTCCAAGTAAGCTGAAGTCAGCTTGGCTTTTTGCACTTTGTCTTCCAAAAGGCAACTGTCTGCGAGGCTGAGCTCTGGTGACTGGTGTCTTGTCTGACCAGCACCTGGGTCGTGGACCTGCTGATGCCTTGAGCAATAATTTTGTTTCATGTAGCTAGTTTTTTGGATCATAATTTACTGGTAAGCCAGGCTGAGCTATGAATCTGTTCAACACTATTGATTCAGGCACATGTTCTCTCTGCTCTATTTCATTTTAAATCTATTGAACTTTAGAAAGGGCACAGAGTGACACAGTGTTTAAACATCCCTAAGGTTTCTCATCCAAAAGGGATCACCCCACAAGAGATGGGAGCTGACCTAACAACTGACTTCCCTGCACAGTCGGTAACCCTGCCAAGGTTGAACAGCCAGAAGATCTGACTTCTACCCACGCTCTCTTAATTTTACAAAGACCAGTTCTTTGTGCAGCTGGGATTTTAAAAACATGGAAAGAAAATACGCAAAATGCACAACAAAACTGTCAGACTCTTTTTCAAGAAAAACTATGGGAACAGCAAGGACAAAAAGCTTGGTCCAAGTCATACCTACAGGATCCAAGGAGCAAACAGTGTTTCTGATGGAGCAAGAGGACATTATGATCACCTGTGACCACAGGAGAGATGCAAACTAGTGGCAGCTTTCCACTGCAAAGTCAAATGAACTCAAAACTGAGCGAGAGAAAAGCACAACTCCTCAAGCAGGACCAGGAAGAGCTCCAGGAGATCTGCAGCAGGCGGGTCCTACCAGTGAGGAGCTTTTTGCTGTTGACTCCATGATGCAGCACCAGCAAAGGCTCCTGGCATCAGCCATGGCGACAGAGCAGAAGAAAGCAGCTGGGCAGGTGCTATAATGTTTTTGGAGCTCTTCTGAAGAAAATCTGCTTCATTTCAAAGAGAGGCCAAAACTGGCATCAGCTGAGCGTTTAGGCCTGTTTACCCACAGTAACAGAGTTGGTATTTCTATGTTTTACCCTTAATCTGACAGTCTCAGGAAAAATAAGTCTCTAGGCTCTGTTCCTGGAGCTGGGCAGCCCTGTCTGCCTTGCTAGCACGTAGTTCCTGTCTTGGGACCACAGTGACTGCTTGGTGAGCATTGTTATCCACCTAAAGCTTCTGATCCTGTAAATCAGCATTGCTGTGGCAGGAGCCTGAGGTATGAACAAGTGCACTTCCACAACCAGAAGCATAAGCAGAGGAAGGGCATCCAACTCCCTCTTCTCTGTTTATTCATAATTTGGAACAACTTACTGGCACAAGCAGAGAGAGGGATGAAAATCTCAACCCAGTGCCACTGCTCGGAACAGCAGTCGAGATGAATCCTGCTGGCCGAGGACGGCACGAAGACGGGGGCATTATGCAGCTGTGTTGCAGTTTCTTTGGTGGAGAAGACGAGCCTTATGCATCACTTAAAGAAAAGAATGATAACCCTGAAATTAGAAGGACCGAACTGCAAATGTCTCCTTGCTAGTAACCAGATACTTACTCCGAAAAGAACCCAGCACATCAGGCAAGGAGCTCTTCTCTACTGGGAACAGTTTTGTTATCTGGCTCCAGATTAAAGCCCCTGACTGCTTCTTCCCACCCTAGGCTAACAACATCTGTCGGCTCAGCACAGATTCCAGCCTCTCTCCAGCTCCTCAGCCTTGGCTAGCCATTTGGCTTCCACATGGAGGTAAAATTATTTATTCCCAATTTACAGATGGGGAGAACCTAGGCACAGAGATACAGCCTACGAACACACAGTAAATAAACAGCGAGACAAGAAGGGTGGGGGGTTCTGGATAGGCTTTTTGCAGGTCACCAGCCTAGACACCTCCAGCAGACAGTGGAGAAGCGTGCTTATCACCTGCCAAAATCTGCAAAACAACGAGTGTTTGTGCATCCAGTGATGGCAAAATGAGAAGATGATACAGCGCCTTAACATTATTTGCACCATCTCTTAGCCACCTGCTGTGAGCTGCTGCCTCCCTTGGATTTTTCATTTCCCTTGTTCAAAATTCAAGTGAGATTATAGATATGTATCTTGCTCATGGTTTTTTGGAAGCGGGAGAGAAAGTTTATGAAGCCAGCCCTACTTCTCTGCTTCTGCACAATGACGGTTCAGTAATTCCAGACCTAGAGCTAGATAAGCATGCGCATGTTTACATTTTAAACGACCCAAAGGCTCCCCAGTACTATTTGGAGTATCCTCCTTGAAGCACAGGCAATTTACACTAGCCACAGATCTTTTCCACAAACTAATTGTTCTTAATATGCATGTTGTAGGTGTTGTGAGGTTTTATAATCACTGCGGTGTGCGTGATAACGCAGCATCTCGGTGGGCCAACTCTCACGTTAATACGTTAAATAAATAAATGTGTAACCACAGAAGCAGAATTTAATAAAGGGAAGAGAAGGCTTGGATTAAACTGAGGATGAGCCTGAATTCACTCTGCAGAGCCTGCAGTCAGCAAAGAGGAGGTAAGCCAGGCCACCCTTCTTGCCAGGCGCAAGGAAACCTCATGTAGAAAAACAGATCTTCTTTCTTAAAAACAAACATTTTAAAGTTTATATATAAATACTGGTCAGTGAAACCAGAATCTGTGTCTCTGTTTTGCTCACCTTCTGTTTGCTTACCATTTTACTAGTTTGACTGGCTGATGTGATGTTTTAAACTGTTTTTTCAACAACTTTTCTAACCACTCTGAAAATTACTTTGTATAACAGAGAGAAAACGAAGAATTCAAGTGCAGTGCTGCTAAGCAAGCAGAATTGAAAAAATATCTCTGCTGATGAGACGTCTCTCAGGAAAAACATCTGTCAGAATATAGGCAATTTTGAGTAATCCAATAGTAGTGCATAGCCTAAGTAGTCAAGGGGCTCAAGCTGCGCCAGGGGAGGTTTAGATTGGATATTAGGAAAAATTTCTTCACAGAGAGTGGTCAAGCATTGGAAGAGGCTGCCCAGAGAGGTGGTGGAGTCACCATCCCTGGAGGGGTTCAAAAAATGGGTAGACGTGGCACTTTGGGACATGGTTTAGTCTACCCTTAATTGGTTTAGTGCGGACTTGGCAGTGTTAGGTTAATGGTTGGACTGGATGATCTTAAAGGTCTTTTCCAACCTAAACAATTCTATGATTCTAGTCCTTCTCACTAAAGAGAAAAACCAAACAACGCCAGCCCAACGCATTGAATTCTTTGGAGCCGGGGCATGTTTCAGGGGACTGATGGAAGGATGCAGACAAGCTCGCAGAAAGCAACCGTCAGTCCCACAGCAGTGCCAGCCAGGACAGCACCCTCTGATTTCACGCTGTTTATCCGCTGTTCATCTCAGCGGTACCTGCCCCTTGCGCAGAGGCCGTGGCCGTGAGCGGAAGGGCCCCACGTCATTACAAAGGCTTTTTGAGCAGAGCTGTTTCCACGATGCTGCAGGGCTACCTCTGATGTTCCCAGTAGAACAGATCTCCCTGAAACACGGTTTGGCATGAGTTTCTACTCGTTCTTCCTGCCTCATTGCACTCGCCCTCCCTGTCTGCCCTGCTTTCTCTGCAGAGGATCCCCTCTGTTGTGGGCATACTACTCCTAAGTAAATGTGGGACAAGGGCAAAAGGCAATCTGGGAGAAGGCTGGGACTTTAGCTGCTGGATTGTGCCCTGATGCAGCTTAAAGGACCTCTGCAAAATGAGCACCACAGTGTTTCAAAGGCAGGCAGCTCCCTGTCACTGTGTGAGCAAGTATTCCCACCGCGAATGGCCGGGATTTTGGTACAGAATCACCTTCTGCTTCTGAGGTTTGCTTTAGCAGCTCTACCAAGGTAACCTACCTAAGGTTGTTCCTACAAAACTCAATCCAACGCGCGGACTCCTGCGGGCCACATCTCTGCTCCTGCACGGATGAGAGCCTCTCAGGCAAGGGCAAGGTGCGCGCACCTTTGAGAATTCCCGGCAACTCCAGAGCGCGGCTGAAGGCTGCCTGTCAGGTTGCTCTCCCTGTCCGCAAACTCAAAACCCTTGTAAGCCCTGGAGCAGTCGCCCAGCAGGCACTCATCAGCACAAACGCAACTCTCCAGCGCCATGCCAAGTACGCGCGCTTCGCTATTATGTGGCTCGGTCCGCAGCAGGTAAAACGACCAACTGTCGTGGCCTCGTGCGATAAGAAAGCCTGCTCCGATGGAGCCGCGTTAAACTTTAAGCACTGGCTATCAGTAAAGCAGGTCTGATGTAATTCTGGCAGTGTGACCTAACCCAGCTCATGGGGGACACCAATAAATAATCCACATTAATGAAATCTCTCGACACGCGAGCTGTTCAGAAGCTTTTGGCTGCATAAATAACGGAAGGGCCCGGGACTGCGAGCCGCTCCTTACTTGTGAGAGATGATGGTGGGGGGAAGCTGTTTGTGATCCCCGGCCAGGATGCACTTTCCAGCCTTCAGCAGAGGTATCCAGCAGCTGGCTTCCAGGGCCTGAGCACACTCATCTATCACCACGAGATCAAAGTGATTTTCAGGAAGCAGCTTCAGAGGGCCATCCGAGGAAGCACCTAATTAAAGGAGAAGGTGCACAGCTTAGCAGGGAAGCACAGAAGAGCAAGCAACCTGTTTTTAAAACAAACCACACAGGCTTTAATTGCGATTGAGGGAGACAGGTAAAATAATGTTTCTCTGCAGAGACGTAGAAATTCAGCTCTGTAGTCCATGCCAAATACATATACATTTATATGTATATGTCAGAATTGTTTTTGCCAATTTCTCTTTGTCCTTTTTTGCCCTGGCATCTGGGCCCAAAAGCTTCCAAGTATCTTTGAAAACAACAGTGAAACCCAGATGACAAACAGAACAATATGCTTGAATACTTCACCCAGAGCAGGAGCAGAGCAAAAGCACTAATGAACACCCACTTTCCTTCTGCCCTCAAACGCAAACAAAACTTCTCACCAACCAAAACTGAAAGGATGACGGACTTGAGATTCGCCTTGCCGGATGCACCGAGGGACAGGAGGGAAGGATCAGTTGAGACCCTGACTCCTCTGCCCTGCCGACCCCGGCTGTGCTACTCTGTCCTTCCTCGTGGCAGCAGGAGAGGGGAAAGCACAGGAGACTGTAATCAGACAACCATGGCATGGGCTATTTTTTTTTTTATCAGACATCCATTTGTAATGTCAAACAAAGAAGCCTTACACACGTCCTACTATAATCCAGACATGAACCAATATTGATCCATGCGTTGATCAGAACTGTGAATTTCAGAGGCATCAGAAATATCACCGCAATTCATAAGAAAAAGGGTTGCAAAAGGAGGAGAGGAGGATTAAGAAGCCAGCATGCCAGACAAGGAGATTTTTATTCACAGTGTTCACACAAACAGTTTTTCAAAAGCTCCTGTGCTAGTGCAGCGTAGCTCTAAAAGCAGCTCTGATGAGGGGTGATTTTGCTTTGTCACTGTAAATCCTGCTGCCTCTACAGCTTTGCATCAGTTCAGACGTGACAGTTTGTCAACTGAGACACCGTGTTTTCCTTCAAAAAATTTTTTTCCAGCCTCTATGAATCCACTCTGGTAACACGGGGCATACAGCTTGAACTTGACTTTTGTGATTTTGCCATGCTGAAGGTGAAAGGAAAAGAAATAAGTAGAAGGGTTCTCTCTATCTAAAAAAGCCTGTACCAACAGGGCACGCAGCTGTGCAGATGGTTTTCTCCCTTACAGCCTTGCAGCTCGACTTGAGTTTATTGAACTCCCATTAGCTAAAGGTCACTGGTGTCCCTGTGTGTTGCCATGATAAAATTCTCTCTCTGC